TAAATCAAAGCCAGCATCCGCGATTCTCAAGAGCAGGCTGCCGATAACCATTCTTGGAGGGCGCCTGGAGGGACAGTTAGCGAGGGGTCCACAGGAAAAGCAACGGTGGATTCCTGCCTTCAGTTATTACTGAGTTGAGACAGAATTTTGTATCATCATGACTGTTTCTTACTAGTTTTGTAGCTTAGTCCAGTAATCAGGGTTGACCAAATACAAATATTACTTGAAATAGCAACTCAAAAAGATCTTCTCATGGAAGGGTCTTGGAAACAAAAAAAGGAATGATTTTTTTTTCAGTGCTGTGTGAAACTTCTCAGGGGATATAGCTGTCTGTGGGAGAGAGTGTTTTCCAGATGTGGTAGAGCATTACCCCCAGCTGCACACGTTCTGACAGGTCCTCCCCATCCACAGGGGCGTCCCTTACAGTCCCTGGAGGAGGGGAGTGCACGAGCCACGCAGGACACCGCCAAGGCAAGGCCAAAAGCGGGACACGTGCCTCAAACAGAGTGCCGAGGTGTGAGGAAGCTCATTATCCAGTTATTACACTTTGCCTATGAAACTCATCAGCGCAGCTACCATGAAAGTTCCCTGTAGTTGTTGACTACCACGCGATCATCTGTGATAAAAACTGAAACCAGAGAAAAGTTCTTACAACTGGCTAAACACAGCTGGGCTTCCTTTGAGGAATGCACACAGACCCCTTTCTGTCGGTCCCCGCAGGGGACAGGGGCACCCTACAGGTGCACGTTTGTGAGCTTGCTCGTTCGCTCGGGGGGGGGGGTTCTCTTCTCTCCCCTGCTTACCTGGGAGGGAACCAAGGCACAAGAAGATGCGTGCCTGGGCAGAAATGACAGCTAACGTGGTGCAGCTGCATCACCTCCTACGTAAAATGAGAAATAAATGGACTGGGTCTCGTCTTCCTGGGGCAGGTTCAATGCTGTGTTCAACTACTGGCAGGTGCCATATGGTTCACATGCGTGGTCTTACTTGACTCAACCTCGACTTTGTTTTCTATATTTTATTGTTTGTGTGTTTTCTTACTGTGAGCTAACTCAAGCTTTGTGAAATAAAGACACACATATACACACGTATTTATACTTAACAGATTATCCTTGTATAAACTTCAGTGTTTCCAATATGAGTACTTTCTTGCTGAACACTAAACATAGATAATTCTATCTCCATTATTTGAGCACTGAGCTGGTGAAGGTTTTCCCCGTGATGCTCCACAGGAGTCTGTCCCTACGTGCAGTGCGTCCCTCACTTAGCCATGGGCGCCGTTATGCACCGAGGCAGGGAGGCGATGTTCCCACAACCCTGGGATCCTGCAAAGCTGTGCTCGAGCTCACCTGATGTGCTGGGTACTCATTCCTTTTGCTCTGACTTTGGACATGTGGGTCCGGTCTGGAAGGAGCCACACTTGTCTGGAAAGAGCAGGGGTGCCCTCTTTTGGGGGATTTTGCTCCTTTGTCACTATAATTTAGGGAGATCCCAGGCTTCTGCTCACCTCGGCTGCCTCACCTGCCCTGGTTTTATGGCCAGTGGACTCTGGAGGGAGGGGTGGGGATGACCATTCTGCCTTCCTTGCTGACTGCTTTTCAAATGACGAAGATCGTGTACAACACATGTGTGGGTGCACGGTGCAAGAAAAAAAAAAAAAAGCTCAATAACTGGCCGACCACAAAATGACCTGGTTCCGCAAAGCTCAGACAACACGTGGTTCTCTAGGCTACCATGTTTTCTTCCTCGTTGGGTAACCAGGCAAACAGCCCTAAGTACCACACACTGTCAGAAAAAACATTATAGGAAGAGATTTAAAACTGTGCTCTAATGAGTGATTCGCTTAGATCAAGAACAATCCTTCACTGGGATTTTCCCATGAAATGAAAAAGTAAATACAAGTCCTCAGTGCATTGCTAAGTACATGATCGGCTCCGGCCTTCACGGAGGTATGGGGGAAGCCTGGTTGGTTGTAGCTGTGTACCCTGTGATTCTGAGCATGAAGCGTGTGAGCCAGCAGCTCAGGGCACCTGCCATAGTCTGCCCCTGGCTGTGACCTCTCTGAGCCCCTCTAATTCTGTCCAACCGGCCCCTAAGCCAGGACTCCAACCAGCTGAAGGACAAAGGTCTTTCCTGACATTCACAGAGACCTTGAGGACTAGATCCTGCAGAAATGTCTCAGGTAGAGGACAAGGGCCAATTGTCTGACACGCAGACAACATGATTACCAGGAGCTTGAAGATTATCGCTACATGGGTGCCGATGACTCAGGGTTCATAGAACATCAAGAAAGCATGGGTTTTTTTTTGTGGTACTCAGGGAACTTCTGTCTAGTCAGGAAAAGTGGGAGGCAGCTGCTGATTTCATTTGGAGTGACATTTGTACAACATTTCATAATTTAAAAAGAATGCTCAGATATATTTTCCAAGATTATGCAGTCAAGATTGACAGCCAAGATCTGTTTAGCTTCTCTTTCCCTCCTCACTTTGCCCCTTTAGGCCGGGGTTTCTCTGGATTCCAGGAAAGCATCAGGAGTGGGAGATTATCATAAGTTCAAAAGCAGATGCCCGGCAGCTCTGCAGGAATCCCCGGTCTGTATTAGTAAGGCTCGCTGAGCCCAGAACCATGGGAGCTGGGGGGCCCCCTGGGCTGCCCTCGCTCAAGGTCAGATGCCGTCAGATGGCCCGCTCTCCACACCTCCCCTCTGCTGTGACTCAGCCTGGACCCAGGGTCAGCTGCCCGCGTCGTGAAGGTGATGATTAGGGGCTGTTTCCTGACCACGTGAGGGCTGCGCGCCCCAGCACCGTGTGAGCGTGCCAGTGCTCTAGCCCGGGGAAGTCGCAGTCAACGACCCGGGCAGCATCTGCTTGCGCAGCTATTCTTCCCACCAGAAGACAAATCTAAGTTTGTGCCGGGATGGAAATGGTGCACGGCCAGCTGTGTAAGTCTCCATCCAGGCTGAGTATCTACCTGAGAGAGCTGACGGGGCTGCCTTTGAAAGAGCTTCAGAAACCATACCATGCTTACGCCGACTTAAGGAAACACGTATCACAGAAGACTTTCCTGGCATTACACGCATCTATGTCTCAAGTACGTATGCACATGTGTGTAATGTGTGTGTGTCCGAAAGGAGCAGGATGACGGATACTGCTGTGAATTATCCTGAAAGCACGTAACCAGGGCAATAATGAGAAAGAGGATATTTGCTTTAAAAAATAAGTAAGCTTAGCCAAAATCCTTCTAAAAGGTACTCTTGTCATATAGGAAACCTAAAATTGGACATTTTTATTCTGTCGTTTTATGTGTTTAATATACATATGGAGTTGGAATACGGGAGCAGAGAGGTAGTCCAGAGAAACCTTTATTTTAGAGGTTCGCAGACGGATTTACTCTCGAAATCATCGACACTCAGATGCCCAATTCAAATCTGCAGACTGCCTTCCCTCTGCCTTCAGAACGCCTGCAGCAGCGCCCGCCCTCGCGTGCTGGTCTCTTCTCCCCTCTGGTAGCTCTGCCCCTGAGGAATGGAGGCCCTGCTATGGGGAGGCAGCGGACAACGCTCTGGCAAACCCCTCCCCACCCAGTTCCCAGGAACATCAGCAGGTGTAACCGGGCGAGTGCCGATTCCTACTCGCACTGACCCCACTGCTTTCCATTAAACTGATCTGCATTGTTTTCAGTCTCTGCACCTCTGGGTTATGCTGATTTTCATGACAGTTTAAGATACTGAGACAGTGGGCAGTGGTACTTCTGTCATTACAGGTGTTTACTCAGGACGGAATCACAGAAACAGAAGGGAGTTTTGAAAAAGAGCAAGCAAATCAGGAACAAGACGTTGGGGTGGCTTTTCCTGCCGGAGAAGAGAAAGTACTAAGAAACCCGTTCTGTGTAAGTAAGCCGCGGCTGGGCCAGGGAGCGTGGTGAGGAGGCCTGGCTGCCGTGGGCATCATCACCTGCAGGCACACGGCACCATCCAAGGGACACGCACTTCAGTAGCCAGAAAACCGCTCCCTTTCCCTCTGACATGCCAGTGAACCCTCAGGGTCTGGGCACACTTCATGCTGCCCCATCATTCCTGCGTCTCTGGGAACTCTTGGAGGAGAGAACGGAGCAGGGCACTCAGACAGATCTTCACCGTGTCTCGCTCAGCCGCGTGATCGTGAGCAAGTCACGGAGCACTGTGGTCACATGGGAAAGGTGATCTTTTTTAACGTTAAAATCAAATGAGAACTCGTTCATTCATTCTCTTGGGGGGACGCAGAAATGCAGGGAAGTCGTGTATGTCAGCGGGCTCTACAAAAAAGTAAACTTTTATAGAAAATGGTTATTTTTCTCTGTGATGGAGCCCTACCAGCAGCACCAGGGTGCACATTCCTTTGAAGTTTACATTGTAAGGGCATAGAGTAGATACGGTTTAGTTTCTTCCTAATTGTTTAATCAATTGTACCTCCTGAGTCATGCTTTGTGGATGAAATACCTGGGCTTTGGCATAGTCCTACTTCCCTGTTAGTTTTGTTTTATAAGCGTCATGAGGTTTTCCACCCACAATGGTCAAATAGATAAGTAGAGAAATACGGCAGGGCAGGGCTGCACCCGGGAAGTCTCTGGAGCCTGCAAGCACGACAGCACAGAGCACAAGAACAAGAACGAGATGAGACAGCTGCCACGGCCACCTGTGCGGGCACGCTGGGGGTGGGAGGGCGGATGCCGGGGGTCCCGCCGGGGGGGGGGAGGGAGGTGGCGGGCGGACGGCGGGGTTCCTGCCGGGGGGGGAGGGCGGACCGCCGGGTGGGGGGGAGGGCGGACGGCGGGGTCACGCCGGGGAGGGCGGGCGGTGGGAGCCTGACCAAGGGGGATCACCCCACATTCCTATGGACTCTGCATTTTCAATACTGGGAACAGATTCATAGATTACTCATGTGATTAAAAACTTAAAACCTTCCCCAAACGCGAGCATCTGCACACGTGGAGCCCCGTTCCCTAGTTTCCCAGCCACATACCGAACACCTCGCTGTCGTCCGAGGCCTCCCGGGAGAGCCGGCGGACGTCCCTGCTCTTGTCAGACTCTCCTGCGCTGGTTTCTCCGTCCTGGAAACAAAACAGAACAAGACCCTCTCTTAAGATGCAGTGCTTGCTTTATCAACGAGATAGTTGTAATACATTTTTCTTCTTATAAATTTTGCGGCAGATAATCACATTCCCCTGCTCATCGTCCAGCTGTGAGAGTCTCTGAGTTCAGGGTGGGTTTTCTGCAGAGGATTCTGAATTCCCGCCTCTTTTTTCTGCTTGGGCTCTAAGCATTCTCTTGTGCCAGTGTATGTGTTTTCATTCAAAAGAACCGAGTAGCACCTGGGATAAAACATGTCAGCTAATCATCATGCAAGTGTTCCGGGAGCATGCCCGCCCGCCCTGTCCCTGTTTGGGTTGCAGGTGGATGGATGCACGGGAAGGAGCCGACACCGAACCTGCCTTCCTTGAATTCCAACCTTGGCCGCCTGGAAGCCAGGCAGGGCAGCCCTGGTGCGAGAACGGGCCCTTTTGGGGGCAGAAATTGATGCCGATGCCCACGCGGTGCCCCAAGTCCACAGAGAAGGGGTTGGGTGCCACGTGCTGGGCTGGGCTGACCCCCCGGCCTCCCCCCTGCTCGGTGATGGAGCCCTACCAGCAGCACCAGGGTGCACATTCCTTTTAAGTTTAAATTTTAAGGCATAGAGTAGATACGGTTTAGTTTCTTCCTATTTGTTTAATCAATTGTACCTCATTAGTGTGACGGGGAATGCAACTGCAAAAGGCCCACCCAAAAGCGTAAAGGCCTGCCTGCAGCCCTCCCTCCGCATCCCCGCACCGCCCCAGCACCCCCGTGAGGCCTTGCTCCGCACACTGCTCTGCGTCTTGCTTTGGTCTGGTAACCAGGAACCCTGGCGGTGGCTTCACGCGGCCCACATAGCGCCGTCTGACGTGCCGTCAAGGCCAGAGTGCGCGCCCTGCACCTCAGTTACTCCCACGAGTGCCACAGGCTCCTGGCCCTGACCATCGACCTGGTCTGTGTTTTCCTCCGTTATGACCAGCACCGCGAGAGCTCCCGGGCCACACGCACAAGGGGACATTCCCAGACGCTGCCCTGGGCGGCCTGCCACTCCCCGCGGCCTCTCTCTGGCCTGCGTCCTTCTCTGCAGCACTTCTTCCCAGGCCTCCCTCATCCCCTGAGTCTCCAGCTAGGACCAAGCGGTAGGTATTCTTCCCGTTGTGCACTCTTCTTCTGAAGAGCAGGGCAGGCAGTTGCTAAAGCTGTGCGTTCTGGGGCAGACTGGTTGGGAGTATGCTCTGGCTTGGCTCTTATTTATTAGCTGTGTGACCTTGGACAAGTCACTTAACCTCGCTGTGCTTCAGTTTCTTTTTCTATAAAAGAGAGGAAATACTGATACTGCATGGTTGCATGTTGTGGTTGTTAATGAGGATTAAGAAAGTATCTGTAAGTGCTCTGAACATACCTGGCACATAGGAACTGCTCTAGGAGTGTCTGTTAAATAAAAATGGAAACTCTGGGAACAAAGGTGACCATCCTCCTTTCTGCTGCCTTGGCGTTGGCACCCAGCTGCTGAGAATCTCCCCCAGCTTTGTCCCCGAGCCTTGTCTTACAGCAGGTGTGTTGGACCTGCCCCGCTTCCCTGCTCCCCTCCTCGAGGGACTCCCCTCCCTTGCTCTGGCAGGTCTCTGGGAGGCTCGAGAGTGGGCACGTGGCCCCAAGGTCTGGTACCAGCTGTGTAGAAGCTCCTGGGGACCAGCACTGGGCTCCCCCTGGGCCAGGTGGGCCAGCACGCCTGCAGGGCGGGGGTGCAGGGAGGGAGAGGCCCTTTGTGAAACCAGTGGGCGTCCCCCTGAGCCAGGACATCTGGATCTCTGTACTTGCCCCCTCCCTGCCAGGTCTCAGGGCTTTGGGTGGGGTTTGCCACTTGCAACAAAAACTGTCTTGACTAATAGGGTCTTCTTGTGAGGAAGCCATAAGGTATTATCCCATCAAGGGAAGGTCTGACTCAGACCAAGACGGGTTCCCAGGTAGGGACAAGCACGTGCGGGCAGCCCACAGGTGGGAGAGATGGCGAGGCCCAGGCGGCTGGGGCCTCGGTGGCCTTGGGGAGGCAGAGGCCAGCCCTCCGGACCCACAGCAGCAGGTGCTCTGCTCCCCATCCCCCTCCCCCAGGCCCCTCTGGAAGCCTCCGCCCCAAACAAGTGCGGGGTCTCCATTCCACCACTGGGCAGGCAGGAGCGGGGAATGGGTGAGACCCCACCACGCAACATTTGTAGAGTCTTGTTCCCACAAGTACCTGAGAGCCAATGCTATACGTATAAGAGGCGATGATAATTAACACCCAAAACATGGAGGAGGGGAGAGGTTCGCCTCCACCTTCACCAGCGAAGCTACTGTCAATAAACTGACTTGGTGTTTCCCGGACTGAGATCCGACAGGCTCATCAAGTACCTGTCAACAGTGACGAGTGTGTTCGCTCCGGTCACTAGCCACTGAAGAGCTACACAGCAAAACAGGGCAAAGATGGTGTTTTCTAGCATGTTGACCACAATGAGAATAAAACAATCTCCAGGGTTGTTGAGGATTCAGGAAAACAGGAAGTCTCCAGGAACTGGAGTAAACATTCACAGCTTCCTCTGTGGGACAGAGGACAACAGAAACCAAGCTGTCCCTGTGCCTGGAACACCCCTTCCAACCTCCTGCCCTCGGGGTCCAGGAGGGTCTGAGCTCCTCCCCACTGCAGACTCCCCACGGACTCACTCCTCTCCCCCCACCACACTGCAAAGTGCCTGAGAACAGGGACCTTACCTTATAACCCTTTCTGTCCCCAGACCTCCCCAGGGCCTGGCACCCAGCAGGTGCTGGAGAGAAAACCATCCCATTGTTATGTTTAAAATGGGTAACTTCTGTTTCCACAGAGGAAGCCAAAGGTGGCTTACAATGCATTTTTCTGTATCTCCTTATTTAATTCTGGAGGGGGAGTAAAACCTGGGACAGAGAACACTTCTGGATAGACTGTTCCATCAGCTGGAGATTCTGGTCACGTGTCCTGGTTTCACACCTTGCTTTGAGGCTGACCTCAATGTCGTATCCTTCACTTAGTACAAAATAAGGATTACTGGAGAAGGAATTAATTCAATACAATTTAGCTGACATTTTTATTCATCGTGGGTGCGTTTTTTCATGCGTCAACATTTAAAATCAGGATGCCCCATACGGTTCCCAGTGTCTTCCAGGAAGAACTGGTGACATCTTCCCGCCAGTGTAAAATCCTTCCTGGTGTAAATTCCTGCTGAGGCTCAGAGATGAGAGCGAAAGCTTGACATTTAAAGTGAATCACTCTGTCGTCAGTGACTGGAGGTCGATGACACGGTCACACAACCTCGCCATCTCCGCTGGGGTTGGTGGGGTATCATGGCGAAGCGATGGTCGGTACCCTCAGCCCGCGCCCGGTGCAGTCTGCTCTACTGTAGCAACACAGCGTCCACTGTCTACTCCTTGAAGGGACCCCGGGGGCCAGAGGGAGGCATGAAGACAGACAGGACCTCCAGCCTCACCCCACCTGCTCCCATCTCCTGAGTAATGAGCCCACGGAGCGTGCAGAAAGTACACGTCGCCCTGGGAAATCCACTGACTAATTTCTGCCCAAATAAAAAGATTTTTCTAAGACCCGATGCAGTTGCTTTTCCACGAATATAAAATATATCCTTATGAATAACACATTTTCAATAAGCAAAATGTCCACAAGCAAAACAAACACAATCAAGATGATGTGTGTCAAACGTAATGGAATTTTCATGGTAAAGAAATAAGAGCTTCCTGTAAATGACAAAACAAAAAACACTCAAGATATGCAAAGAGGGTCAGTCTCCGTGACCCGGGACCCAGAGTGTCATTGCCCCAATATGGCCCGATTCTGAAATCATGTCTGTGACTCCCGGTGTCTAAACGTGTTTCAAGCAATTATGGTTTCTTCATAATATTTGTGCCAATGTTCATTTCCATCAGCCTAAATATGCAAGAGTTGGCCTATATAAGAATCCACTTACTTTTCCATATTAATTTCAGGGACAACACAAGAAAACTCTTATAAATGTTGATTTAAAAATACTTCTAAATACAGACGAGATTTATTATTCAACAACATCGATACAACACTCATTATAAATAAAGCAATTTGCTGCATCCTTAGATTAAGTGCCTAATCTTGTCACTCAACAGGCTTCATTCCTGTGTGATTAAAACCTTCCTTTTAGCCAACAGGTCCTCTGCTCCCTGGGGGATGCCCCCCAAGTGTCTGGTCCCTCCTGTACTCTGCAGAATGAAGAGGGCCCTGTTCCGCTCGATCCACCCTTCTCCTCGGGGGCCTTGGTCTCTCGTCCGTACTGCTCTCAGGGGCAAGCTGAGCAGACAGCATTTGCTTGTCTTTTCAGGTTCTGGGCAGCCATCCTGAACAGGAAACCCTGGGGTGGAACGGACTTTAGTGTTGGAAGTGTTTTTAATTTCTCTTTAAATATAAGTGTGGGGGCACCTGGGTGGCTCAGTGGGTTAGCTGTCCAACTCTTAATTTTGGCTCAGGTCATGATCTCAGGGTCATAAGATCGAGGCCCACATTGTTCTCCATGCTCAGCGGGGAGTCTGCTTGGGATCCTGTCTCCTTCTCCCTCTGCCTTCACCCCCTGCTTGTGCATGTGTGTTCCCTCTCTCTCTCCCTCTCTCTCTCCAATAATCAAATCTTCAAAAATAAATAACTGTAAGTATGGATACTGCATTTCCTAAAGAAACACTGACTTTCAAATGAGGGAGATCAGGTATCACATATGTTACCTGCAGGGCAAAGAGGTTCCCAGAGACCCTCGAACAGGGCGCAGGGTGTCCAGACACTAATGACGTGGATGCCCCATCAAAGTCAGGCGAAGCGTCTGCTCTCCATGAGGAGTTGGCTTCACAAGACTCAAGAGAAATCTAATTAGGTCAAACCAAAGACTCCCAAACTGGACCTGAAACAGCCTCAGGGAAAGTGGATGCAGTTCAACCGTTTCCCACTGTCCGTGGGCCATGAGACGTCCCTAAGAAGGTCCAGGGAGTCCAAGGCCCCCCACCTGGGAGACAGAAGGTCAAGTCACCTCCTTTGGCGTGGCCTGTGGTAGGGCCCGCATGCCTGTGTCCGCTCTGAGCCCTTCCCTGCAACTAGCTGGTCTTTGATCATCAGGGCTGAGCATCACGCCTGGTCCACACCATGCCCTTGGCACATTTTGTTCACTCCCTTTTCCCTTAGCATTCCAGAAGCATCTGGCCAAAAGGCAGCAAGGCCAGAGAGGGGTCAAAGGCACAGCAGGTGGCTCAGAGGCCGGCCCTCTGGTTCTCCCACTGCTGATGCACAAGGTAGTTCGTGACCGAAAGACATGGAAAAGTCTGCCCCAAACAAGTGGTGGGGTGGGGTTGGAAGATCTTGGTCATCTTCTCGTCACAGTGGGGAGAGTTTGGCTTATGATAAATACTCCGAAAACTGCAGTAGTTGGAAAGCATCAATAAAAACAAAGCAAAATTGCTGTAAATTCCTGTGTATCACTTGAAATTCTCGCTGTTGTGGATTTGAGGTTCCCTGACTATCTTACATTGACAAGCTGAGGAAAAGCAATGCTGACCTTCAAACTGACGCATGAGCGTGTTGGGGGTGGTTTTTGACTGTCATTGGGCACCATCCATTCTTAAAATACATGACAAATACTTTGCTCTGCAATGTTCTTTTAATTGAGCAAAATGAAACCTTGTAGGTTTCATGGCAGGAGTGAGAGAGAACAAATCCTTGATGTTTTTGGCACCAGTTTGTGGAACTTTGCTGCAGAAGCCACAGGAAATGAACACACGTCGACATGCATTGACACATGTCGACATCCCCTGAGGTCCGTCACTGGCTCATTCACTGATCCTGACCTATGGCCTCTGCCCTGCACGGCTGAGATGGAGAAGAGTCACCGCCCAGGGTGGAGTTCAGTTCTGGGAGGTTCCCTGGGCACTCCATTACCGCAGGGCTGGGGTGGGGGAAAGCCCATATAAATCCTCCATGTAGACCAATTTACAGAACACATGTCCCCCTAGATGTAGCACAAATAGCTCTGGATGTTAATCAATTTATATGCGTGTATTGGACATGTTTTTGCTTATTTAGATAGGAAAAGGCAAATTTAGCACCCAGTGTGACATCATACAATCACCCATCTGTGTACTTACCATATTACCTGAGCCACAGAATCTTTGCCTTTTCGTTTTTAAACAAAATACATTTATTTCAGAGGCCTCTGACCCTTGGTCGGGTGACTTTTCCAGTGTCCCACCTTGCTGCTGTGGATGAGAGTGCAAGAAGCTCCATCCCCCCAACCCCTCAAATTCCACAGTTAGCCACCAACTCCATTCCCTGTTCTGGGTTACACTGGGCCCCTTAAAAAGATCTGTTCACACTCTAGCCCTTGGTATTGGGATGTTGACTCTGTTTAGAATGAGGGTTACTACAGTCGTGATTGGTTATGATGAGGTCATCCTGCAGTGGGTGTGTCCCTAACCCAATGATGAGTGTCTTTATAAGAGGAAATTTAGACACAGAGACACAGGGAGAAGGCCATGTACCAGCAGAACAGAGGGATGTGTCCCCAACCAAGGAAAGCTGAGGGTTGCTAGATGCCACCAGATTCTAGGACAGAGGCCTGGAACACAGTCTCCCTCAGAGGACCCAACCCTGATGACTCCTGGTCTCAGGAGTGAGAGAGAACAAATTCTTGATGTTTTTAGCACCACTTTGTGGAACTTTGCTGCAGAAGCCACAGGAAATGAACACATGTCCCCCTAGATGTAGCAAAAATAGCTCTGGATGTTAACTTGAACAGTGAAAGAGAGAAGAGGGGAAAAAATGCAGTTTTTTTGGTGTTAAGGAATTTCTAGTCCCCTAATCTACAACAAACCAGTGAACACTCTCATTTATTCTGTGGATAAAACATAAACAACAACAACAACAAAAAAGCAAATGACTTCACCTGGCCTTGACTTCTAAAGTTTAAGCAGGAAAGTGTTCTTTGGGGGCCAGTGTGGGTCCTGTGCTAGGCTCCGTGTGAGGAGAGACAGACCCAGGAATTCACAAGGTTCACCTTCTCCAATCACCCAGAAAGTACCATTCAGTGTTGCCTCCACCAGAACCAAGTGGTGCAGCAAAGGATGAAATTGAGAGAAACCTACCAAAGCCATTTACAAACCGAAATGCGGGCATTCGGGTTTAATTTTTTATGCACTGCTCTGCTCAGCTAATTGTAACTTTGTATCCATCTTGTCCAGTCATCTCCTGGAGACAAAGCCCATAATTCAGGTGCATCGCAGCCATTGTAAAAGATTTTTCTTAAGGTGTAGCTGTTGACACATACGCAAAATTGTAAGTACAAATATGCTTTTAGTCAGCC